TTCTTCTGTACAGTTCTAACCCAAACCCTTCCTTGCTCATAAAACCTCATCTATAGCTCCCCACTATCTGCTGGGGCAAGTCCAAATGCTGCAGCGAGCCCTGCTCTGTCTCCTTTCCTGTCTCATCTCCTTCCCCTACACAGACCTGATCCCAAGCTGTGTTTCCAGGGGCTTGTCTGAAGTTCATATTCCCCCTACTGCAGTGCCCTCTGTAAGGCAGGGGCATCAGGCTACCCTCAGATGCTGGCAGGGTGAAGGTTGAATCCTGGCTTCTGGTGGACTAACTGTGTGGCCTTAAAGTAAGCCATGTGACCTCTCTGCACCTCCAGTTCCTCATCTGTCCAGGAAAGGGGATGATGACTGCCCTCTTAGGCCTGATGTGAGGAGTGGAAGAGACAGTGTTTAGGAAGCACTTGGCACAGTGCCTGGCACAGAGTAAATCCTCCATAACAGGCAGAATTAGGAATGTTATTACATGGTCCAATCTCTGTCCTATGGCCGCAACTCACTTTAGAAGAAACAGACGCATTCTCAGGGTGCGGGGTGGGATGTCTTGTGCATTCCAAGAATGTGAGCAGCATCATGGGCCTCTTCCCACTACATGCGGCAGCACCCCCCAACTGTGACAACCAAAAATGTTTCCAGACATTTCCTGTCCTCTGGAGCAGGACTGACCAATTTAGCAACACACACTTAAACTAAAAACTTACTCGTTTATCTGAAAGTCTGATTCAATGGGCTAACCTACATGTTACCTTGCCAACCTACGAGTGGGAGTCAAGACTGTCCTCCTCCTTAAGAACCACTGAGTTAGAGTAAAACCATGAGGGTGAGGGATAGTGTGTGTGGGGGAGAGGTCTCCATAGTAACATAGACTGCTTCTCTTACCTTTCTTTGACCTTTCTGGCATGTCTGCCTTTCTCTCAAAACCCACTGCCCCCAACCCAGAGGCTGGGAAGCTCAGTTTCCCTAACTTAACTCTTCTCAGCAGATGTGCTGAAGGACTCGTAATCAACACCCTTCCATGAGCTGCAGTGTGCAAAGCTAAATGCAGCAGCTCCCCCGAGCACCTACCTCATCTCCCTGCCTCCCTTCTGGGCTCCCCTCTGCTGCCCACAAGCCCCTACCTTTTCCTCTCCAATTAACTGGCCTCCTAGGCCCAGCACCCTGGAGGCAGGAAAACAAAGCTGTTAGTCACTTCCATTATCAACCTGCATCACATGACTAGCTCCTTTAATGGCAGTTGTCATGGGAACGGGAAGCTAGTCTCTTCTCTCGCTCCGGGAACCAAAACAAAATTAAGGGGTTAGCTCTGGGAGGGCAGAGCAAGCCAGGAAGGAGCCAGGAAAGAGCTGGGTGGATATGACAGGAGGAGACTATGCTGAGGACACCCTGTCTCCAGCTTTTCCTTGGTGGCACTGGGGAAAGAGACAAGATTAAAAAATAGCATGCTTGCCCTGCAGAAGCTCAGGCTAACACAGTGGGTGTTTTAACAGGGTTTATCCTACCTGCTGAACAATTTTCATCTGTTATGAATAGACTAAAACCCAGACACTCTGGAAGGTGAGGACAGATCTTATCCATGCTCGGGGAATCAACACGTAGTCAACATCAGCTCCACCCTCTCCTTTCTGTTCCCTCTGGCCTATAGCCCTCCCCATTCCTTTTCTTTCTTTCTTTTTTTGAGACAGTGTCTCATTATGTCACCCTTGGTAGAGCGCTGTGGCGTCACAGCTCACAGTAACCTCAAAATCTTGGGCTTAAGTGATTCTCTTGCCTCAGTCTCCCAAGTAGCTGGGACTACAGGCACCCGCCATAACGCCTGGCTATTTTTTTTGTTGCAGTTGTCATGGGTGTTTTAGCAGGTCCAGGCTGGGCTCCCACCCACCAGCCTCGGTGTATGTGAGCTATGGGCGCCACCCCCATTCCTTTTCTTTTGCTTTTAAAGTAAGACCTGGTGCTCTGCCTCCTCTGCAGCCTCACCTTTCTCCTTCCTCTCTGCTCCAGTCACTTGAATTCCTTCAAATTCAATGTTCTGTCTGGCCACAGAGCCTTTGCATATCCAGATCCCTCTCCCTGAGCTCCCCTCCATCCCATCATACCTTCACCTACTCATCTTCCATATACCTTCTGAAACATCCTGTCCTGGGCCCCTGCTCATGGTCAATGCTCCCTGTTTTGTGTTCTTGTGACACCTGGTACCTCCCTTCAGACCTCTGTGCTCAGCATGTCATTCTCCTTGTTATTGGGATTTAGCATCTGCTGGTGTCCTCCCCCCCCCCCATGGCAATGTCAGCCGCAGGAGGACAAGGATAGGCCCTGTCTTGTTCATTGCTAAATCCACAGAACCTAGCCCAGTGCCTGATGCACAACTCTCAGTAAATAAACACTTTTGGGATTTGCACCCAGCTCTGGGTGAGCCCAAAGCTCCTTCCTGACCTGCCTCATTGGTGCTGGGTCTTCCTGGTCTCCCAGATCAGCACTGGACAGAGCTTCTAGCCACAGAGCCTTTGCTGGACCCTTGGTGGCTGCAGTAGCTCAGGTCATCAAACTTGCAGAGCTGCTCTCCTTATCTAGAAAAGCTGACGGCTAAGGCACCCCTTCTAGAAAGAAGGGTGAGAAGTGCCTCTGGACAAGGCTGTGACACATAGAGATGTGGCTCCTCTGAACCCAGGGAGGGTGGGGAGAGAGAAGACATGACTTGACTCTCGGATTTCTAGCAAAGAACTTTCCTTTCCGTTTGACTGGAGACTCATTCGCTGGCATTGGGGGAGATGTCCACTGAAGAGGTAAGCAAAGGAAGGAAAGGGCATGGGAGGTTTGCTTTGGGGGACAGAGAATAGTCACCATGTTGAATAGGGGGCTCAAAGACAGAAGACTGGACCTCTTTCTACGTCATTGGTTCAGTGTCCCTGGAATGACTCATTGTCTCTGGGACACAGTATTCTTATCCACACAATGGAAATTATACCACCCACACATCCCAAGGTGAGGCATTGTGTAGCTATGGGTGGGCATGCCTGTGGTATGGGAGGGTAAGAGCTTGTCAGACAGACTTGAGTGGTAAGGCCAGACTCCGCCCCTTCTTGGCAGCATGCTCTTGTGCAATCAATCCCCTTTTCTGAGTCTACCCAGAATCCAAACTAGACTGACATGGACTATACCTCAAAGGACATCAGGACAAATGAATCTTTCTGAAGATGGGGAAACTGAGTCCTAGAAAGGGTAAAGGACTTGTGTGGGGCACTGAGGGAGCTGGAGGCAGGACCTCAGCCTGAGCACTCCCTAGATGCCTAGCTGACACTCTCTTCTGACTGCTGGCCCTTCTGCAACTGAACCAACCATTTCCTTAAAAACAAATTTACCCTAGGCAAAAACATCTGGGGAGCAACTATTACATCTTGGTCTGAACAAAAAGACAGCTGGTTTTTACCCTAAGGTTTTTTTGTGGGTTCACATACACCCCTCTCTTGAAATTACCATGAGAATGTTGTGGATTTGTGGGTTTGGTTGGGAATGGGGCTTACACAGAGTTATTTTTTGGTCTTCACAAGGGTTTTTACAAGGGTTGAGCTGAAAATTTCTGGGCCTTTCTGAGGGACCTCACGTGTCTCCTTATTTGAAAACACTAGAATGTGCCGTCAGCCATGGAGCTAATCTTTAAGCAAAATAGGACAGGCCATACTCAGACACACATCCACTTCCCAAAGAAGAAGAAGGGACAGCAACAGGTCCTGGCCTCCTGAGGCTGCCCTTGGTAGTTGTCTGATACTGTGCAGGGAGGGGCTCCTCAGTGGTGCTGGGCACTGTCACTACAGTTGACAGTCTCAGTACACACACACACACACACACACACACACAGAGCCGGGCACAGGGACCAGGCCCACCCACCAGGTCTGCAACCATGCAGCCTTGAGCTCAGGGCCCAGATGTGGCAGCAAAGGGGTCCCAAGCCGACACAGAGAGGGCAAAATGGACACAGTCACAGCCTTAGTCATTCACACAGACTCATGCATCACACGTTTCACACCCCCTCAAGACACACACGCACACGATTACAGCCTCACTCATTCACGACTCACACATCACACAAATTACACACAGAGACCCATACTCACAAAACCAGACACACACACACAGATATATACACACAGAGATACACCAGGTATCTCCAGGCAAATGCACAGACATTGTCACATACACATATAGCCACAAGTCCTCATCCATGCAGGCTTATGCATGCATGTACACACATGTGCTTAAGCAATCCAGGCATCCAAATGCTACCCGGGCCCCCACCACTATAAACTCTCTCTGCATGAGGGGGGGATGCCAATGTCTGCTAGCCCTAGAGACCAGACTGGGCTTCCCATTGGCACCAGGGAGACAGAGTGGAGGGGCAAAGGGTCAAGGAAGCCTGTCTGATTTTCACCCTCCTATGTGTAGGGTGGGAGAAGGAAGATCAGGGGACCCTGACTGCCAGGGGAACAGATGACCAGGGAGTCCCCTGGCTCCTGGAGGTGGCTCCAAGGACTGAGAACTTGGGTAGGGTAAGGGAGGGTTTAATTTCCCAAACTGAACCCCTCTGTTTTCCTGAAGACTGGTCCCCTTTTGGCATGTAGCTCCATGAGCGCCCCTCCCCAACCTGCCCTGCTCCCCAGCCCAGCTCCTCTCACCTAGATCTCCTGAGACCCACCCACCTGCTCCTACACAAGACAGGGGTCCTATCAAACGCACCCAGGTATGCCCCCTACGTTTGGAGGACCCATGTGCTGCGTGCACCCCCGCAAACAGCTTCCAGATATCCAGAGTCCCTCCATACTTAGAACCCCCCAACTCACTCACCATATCCCCAGCCTTGCAGGTGGTTAAGTGCCTACCGAGGTGAACCCCACTCCTGAGGTGGCTGGCCCCGCTGCCAGGCGCCACCCCTCCACAGAGACTCTTCTCCCCGCGTGGCTGCGGCTGCCCCCCACAGCGCCCCCCATCCAGTCACCTACCTCCTTCTTGACTGTGCGCAGCAGCCTCTGCCGGGTTTCCGCCTCTGGGGGACGAGACGGAGAAGCGGCGGGTCAGCCGAGGGGTGGGAGCCGGGGCCCAGGGCTGCCCTCCCGCCGCCCGCACGCCCCGCGCCCCCCTACCCGCGGGGGCCGAAGCCATGGCTCCACGCGGCGTTCTGAGTCCTGGGCGGCGGCAGCGGCGGCGGCGGCAGTAGCAGCGGCCACAGCGGCAGCCGTCGCTTTGGCCTGGGCGCTGCTGTTGCTGCAGGGGCCGCGGGGCGGGGCCGAGCGCGGAGTGACGGCCGCAGGGCGCCAGACGTCAGGAATGGCCGCGGTGGCCCCACCCCTCCGGAAAGCCGCGGCACCGCCGAGCAGCCCAGGTAACCTGCGGCAGGGTCCTCCGCGCAGAACACACACCCTGGCTGCTGCACATCCAGTGTCTGAGTTTGCAGAGGCGGCTCCCACTCTCCTTATCTGACGCCCCGTTTCCCTCCTTCTTACAAAAAAATGCATCTTGTTTACTGACCATCTGCTATGCACTGGGCTGGAGGAAATGATGGGAGATGGTGGGGCTGCTATTAACAGTCTCTGAGCCTCAGTTTTCACCATTTTTAAAATGGGAACAAAACGGTATAACATGAGTGTCAGAATGATCTGAAATTAAGTGAGATATTCACTGCAAAGCACTTAACACAGACCAAAGGGAAAATGACCAACAACCATAAATGGTAGCTGTCACTGCTGTTATTATTGTTGTTGATGTCATTCAAAGTCTTTCAAGGTGTACTGGCTATCGCTTCTTGGCCTTTTAGGTAAGATCAAGTGTAGTATCAAGCTATACTGGCTCTTTATCCAGAAGAAGCCAGGACTTAAAGTGCCTTCCTATCCCACGTGCAGGGTTACTGGGGGAGTGGGTCCTCCCAGGAGTTAGCCCCTAAGAGTTGGCACCTGTCAGCCAAGATCTCCAGGGCTGGGCAGGCAGTAGGCTCTGTAAGACATACTTTGTTTCACCCAGAGCAACCCCCACCCCACAAGTCCCTGACTGTGTCTACCCAGAATGCAACTCAGGTCAACAAATACTCACTGAGCATCAACTATGTGCCAGGTAACAGTGTGGGAAATTTCTAAGTGAGCAAGACAGACCAAAATCCCTGTCCTCCCAGAGCTTAGGAGCAAAACAAATAGTCAAATGATGTAGTATGTTCGAAGGTTCTGGAGAAAATCAGGCAAAGGAGACAGAACCCAGGAGGTGGGGTGTGTATTTTGAAATAAAGTGATTGAAAGAGGCCCAACGGAGCAGATGACATTTGAACAAAGAGGAAAAGGAAGACACGCTGGGCATTTCTGGAGGAAGAGCAGTTCACACCAAGGGAACAACAAATGCAAAGGCCCTGAGTTGGGGATGTGCCCACTGGGGGTAACAAATAGTAAGGAGGTTGGTAGGAATGGAGTGGCAGGAGTAAGGGGAATGGCGGGAAGATGTGGGCCAGACAGGTGGTGGGCCAAGATCCTGTAAGGCCGTGGAGTTTCCTTTAGGAATTTGCAATGCCTTTACCCCCCACCCCCGGCCCCAGTATTCAGTCTTCCCTTCAGAAGGACCTCGGGACAGCTCAGAGCATCCCTCTCCCTGCAGCAGTGGATCCAGGCTCCCTTTATTCCATTGGTCAGTGTCAGGAGTTTTTGGTCATAAGCTACAGAAGCCAACTTTGGCTTGCTTAGGCAAAATGAAATAGACTGGAAATATGTGTGTTTCCAGAATCCATGGGAGCATGGAGAACTGGGAAATGAAACCAAGGCAGCTCTAGAATGCCAGAAAGGGGAAGTTTGGGGAGCATTTACCTGGCAAAGACAGTGTAATTACAGTGCCACCATTCATCTGTTGAAGGTTCCTGTTCCAGGGAAGGAGCATTCAATTGGCCTGAGTTGGGACACACACCTGCCTTTTGGCTAGGGAAGGGGAGTCTCAGTTACAATCCCACCTCCTCACTATCTTCAGTGAGGGTGTAGTGAGTTGCCCAGGAGACTGGAGAATAGGAAATTATTCCTTGGCATAAAAAGTCATATGTTGAGGACCTCGTATGTGCCCAGCACTGTATAGGCTTTGAGCTTTGCTTCCATGACCTTATTGATCCGCCTCCCCAGCCTATCCCTCCAACCCTAGGATACTATATCATAGATAAAGAAAGCATCTGAGTTCTGGGCCAAAGAAATTCTGAGCGCAGAGCCAAAGCAATTCATCCAGTGGTTCTCCTCCTTGGCTGTACCCTTAAATTAACAGGAGTACTTTAAAAAGTTAGGGTGCCTAAGCCTCACTCTAGGGAACCAATTTTTAAAATCCTTGCTTGTTGCTTTTCTGCCAAGCACCAAGCCTGGAAAATAGCTCTGTGCTGATCTTTCATTAAAAACCTGGAGCTTATCCTCCAAGATAAAGGACTTGAGAGCATTTGGCTCAATAGCCACAGGAAGATGGGTCTGGCTGAAACCAGGGATTGCCCGACTTCTGAATCCAGAGCCCGGCGCCCCCTGCTGCAGTTGGAACACTGACCACTAGGGGCACCATCACTTAAGAACAGTGTAGTAAGAGTTGGATCCTCCATGCGGCCGGAGCAGGTAAACTTACTCAGGTCCCAAAGGCTTTTTTCCAGAGTCTGAAAATCCCCACCAGCTGACCCTCGCTACCCAGGCTACGCCTCTTACCTCCCCGCTGACCGATGGTGTTGCTGCTGGTAAGAGAGGCTTTTTCCTCCTGCGGTGTTCCCTTAGCGCCCTCTACTGAGGTAGCTCAGCATAGAGCTCAGCATAAATAAATACAATTAATTTCTGTATGTTATGGAGAAGCAAACACTGAAGAATGAATTTGGAGCTCACAGGCAATCCATTGATAACTGACACAATGCATTATATAATAATTCATGTTAATAACATCTACAGTTTGTTGCGCATTTAATGTGTCTGACATATTAATATGTACTTCGCACGTACAATCTCACTTAATTTACGGGTCAACCCTGTGATACAGGTTCTTCCCTTTATGTGAAATTTTATAGTGGAGGCTCAGAAACTTATCTTAACCAGTGACATGTTGCTAGACAGTAAGTAATAGAGGGTAGATTTAGGCCAGGGCCCTCTTAACCAACTTGCTATGCACACTGTGTTGTATGCCCTATACAATAGATGCCCTTTGTTGCTGTGGTGGTTAATTGGATGTGTCAACTTGATGGGACCACAGGGTGCCCAGACACTTGGTCGTATATTACTCTGGGCGTGTCTATGATGGTGTTTCTGGGTGAGATTAACATTTGAGTGTATTGACTGAGTATAGCCAACTGCCCTCTATGATTTGAGAGGGCCTCATGTGATTAACTGAAGACTTGAATAGAACCAAAAAGTCTGAATGAGAGGGAACTACTCTTCATTGATTGCTTGTGCTAGGAAATTGATTTTTTCCTACCTTTTGACTTGAATTAAAAACCTTGGCTCTTGCAGCAGTCATCTGATTTCCTTCTGAATGTATTTATCTTCGTTCTTTATGAGGTTTTTGTTTCTAGTCCTTATCTTTAACATTATTATTGTTATTAAATTTCCTTTTTAATTTTCTGAAGGCAAAAAGTGGAAACCAAATAAACTCATGTATATGTATAGAGAAAATAAAAATAAAAACCTTGGCTCTTCTTGGATTGCAGGTCTGCATCAAGCTGGGTCTTCAGCTTTCTGCGAATCTTGAGGCTGCTCAGCCTGCATAATTGTAGGAGCAAATTTCTTATAATGCTTCTCTTTATATATATGCATATATATGTGTGCATATGTGTGTCTATATACACACACATATACATCTTATTGGTTCTGTTTCCCTGGAGAACCATGACTAATACAGTTGTTACTTCAATATCCATTCCCCTTCTTCTCTTCCTCATGAAAACTGAATTTGCCCAGATATCTCCCCTCCTCCCCTTGGCCATGTGCCTTGGAGGAGCACATCCTGGGTAGATACTGATTGGTCTAACCCAATCGTGGTGTTCCTGTTTCCATTATCAGTGGTTGATTTAGACATGAGCATAGGACACAGTTCTAACCAATGAAACACAGGACAAGTCTGTAGCTGCCTTCAGGGAATGATGCCTCTACTTTTAGAGAGACACAGAGCACACGGTGTAACTCCTGGGCTTTGGCACTATATGTGCTGCCATCATCAGATAGCCTGAGATCATTGGTAAATACAGGGAGGTGTGCAGAGCTGGAAGAATCACGGAGAAATAGATCCAGAGAGTCTCACCTGTGGATTACTTGTTATTTTGGAAAATATATTTCCTCATTGTGAAGTCATTGAATTAGAACTTTCTCTTACTTGCAGTTGAAATCTTCTTATTGGTATAATTTTTCTATGTAATATATATATGTTTCTATGAACATGAATAGAAAAAAAGGACCTGTTTTTTTCCCCTTAAAAAATAATGTTTATGTCAATAAATATAGATCTATAGCATTCTTTTTCATATCTTCAAAAAGATTTCTTCAGTACGGAAGCTTCACAGTTTGTACTGTCTTCCTCTGTTAGTGCATATTTGGAGTGATTCAGTTTTTGCTATCATGTACAATTTTGTGATTGGAGAGCACTCTAAATTTTTCCATTGGGATATAATTTTGTAAGTTGGTACCAGACTTAAAACCATAACAGGTAAGTTTAGAGTACATGGTGATGCAGCTAAGTATTTTATAGGTAAGCTTGGGGTTCAGACACTACAAATGTGGATATAAACTCCTCATTTCCAAACTCCACACTACTGTCCACTGGCGTTCATGGACATGGGCGGGGGAGAATGCAGAAATGTAGAGGGCGTGGAGGGAAAGAGTAGGGAAGAGAACACGGTTGGTTTTTTTCCTTCTGATTTCAAAGAAATTAACACATTTCTATGAGCCCTTGAAATTATTGCAGGCTCTAGACACTGTGCCTACTGTGTCCAATAGATAAGCCATCCCATGCATTGATTCATTGGCTGATTGATGGCATGAGAGACCAAGGCTCTTTCTATCTTATTCCGTCATTCATATTTTGTGGCTTGATGCCTCATGGCCTCAAGATTGCTGCCACAGGTCCAGACCTTATGCCTCACATCAGTGCAGGAAGAAAGAAGCTGTGTTATTTGTATCTGTGCCTTTTGTAGGGAAGTGAAAATATTCCCAGGGTTCTCCAACAGATTTCCCTTTCAGTTTCATTGGCCTGAACTGGAT